GAACATTTGGGGATCAAAACTGATTGTCTCTTTCCCACACCTCCTCCATCGCATCATCAGCAAAGGCTAATGGCTCTAACTCCAGGACAGGCACCGGGTCTCGCCTCACAGCCGCCTCCTCCATACTCACTGTCATCACTTTGCCTCAGTTACTGCAATGGCCTCATGCTAGTCCTCTCTACTTCCATGCTGGCCCCCACTCCAGTGTATTCGCAATGCTGCAGTCAGAGGACTCTAAACGCTTCCGAAAGTTCCTGCCACACCTCTACTCATGAAAGGCCAGTGCTCCCCATACCCAGAGAAAAACCAAACTCTTCCTCTAGCCCAGAGGCCCGACTGGTCCTTCCTTTCTCTGCCTTTGCATGGCTCTGTGCTTGTCTCTATGTTCCGCATCTAACTCTGCTCAGAGCACAATGGCCTCTTTATCGTTCCTCAAAACCAGCAGATGCCCTCTTGATCCTTGGCATCTTCACATTTCCTCTGCCCAGGCCATGCCTTCCCCAGCACCAACACAGCTTATGCTCTCACTTCCTTCAAGTCTTTTCTCAAACGTCTTACTTCCAGAGAGGCCAACCTAGGGAACACATGATTTAAAGTTACAATTCTCCAACCACATATGCCTGCTCCCTTCTCTGATTTATCATCTCCACAGCCTTACGTGTTATTTAATGTGTTTGACAGGGATATTGCATTGCTTTTTATTACTGAAACTCCAGTGTCTAGAGAGTGGCTGGCATAGTGTGGACCTCAATAAATATTAGTCAACTGAATGAATACAGAGGGAGGAGCATGTTTGGGCCAAGTTCTGCAGCTGTAGTGGATAATCTTTGTCACCAGAGGGCAGCACAACAACATTAAGGGTTTGATAAATGCAGTGTGTTTACCGGGTACACACAGAAGAGATGAGTTTTCCAAACTCAGATCATGAAGGAGAGCCTAAGTGGAAAAGGAAATCAGGAGCAGCAGAATCAACCTCTGTTTTACTGTGTTATTACTGACCTTGAACATCACTTCACTCTCTGGACCTTGGTTTCAGCATATTTTAATTCAAGTGTGTATTGGTAAGGATTCTCTAGAGGGACAGAACTAATGGAATAGATATATATATCTAAAGAGGAGTTTAATAGCATTAACTCACACAATCACAAGGGCCCTCAACAGGCTGTCTGCAGGCTAAGGAGCAAGGAGAGCCAGTCGGAGTTCCAAAACTAAAGAATTTTGGAGTTCAATTTTCGAAGGCAGGAAGCATCCAGCACCAGAGAATGATGTGGGCTGGGAGGCTTGGGCCAGTCTCTCTTTTCACATTTTTCTGCCTGCTTATATTCTAGTCATGCTGGCAGCTGGTTAGATTGTGCCCACCCAGATTACGGGTGGGACTGCCTTTCCCAGCCCATAGATTCAAATGTTCATCTCCTTTGGCAACACCCTCACAGACACAACTGGAATCAATACTTTGTATGATTCAATCCAATCAAGTTGATACACAGTATTAACTATCACAAAGGGCTCCCACTTGATTTGTTAACTCTGATTTACTTCTGGTTCTAACATTCCGTAATAAAACAAACAGAAATCACATTGAAGTACAAAGCCTACAGATGACCAGAAAGCAAAATAACAGCAGAAATTACAACCAAACAGCTAATGACATCACGATAGGATCAAAACCTCATATATCCATATTAAACTTGAATGCAAATGGTCTAAGTGCCCCATTTTAACAGGACACCCTCTCAGCTTCTCCACCTATTTCAATTTGACATTCAGGCTGGAAGATAGGGGCAACGAATTTCCCATAAAGTTGTATTTGAGCTACTGGAATTCAATTAAATACTCACAAGTTCAATAGAAAGTCCCTTTTGCATGAAGTAAAACTATATTAGAGAGTGAGCTTGACTCAATTTAGTTATTCCCACCTCTACTTTTTTTAATGAGATAGAGCAACATTTCCGGAAAGAGAAGAAAAGTTAGCGCCACTCAGGAGATACCAGGGCTCTAAGATAGTATCACTTGAATGCTATAGTTTCTTCTTATTACTTTTGGGGAGAAGCGAATGTAGAAATATATTTGAAATATAGACGATATTGAAATATAGACAATATTGCATCCTAGAAAAGAAGCGATTTAAGTTTGTCCATGGGATGAAAAGTCCAAATTTTCTTTTTAGTACTATCATAGAAGAATTTCGTTTTCTCCAACAGAAGCAGTATTTCCACAACAGATCAGGGGAGGGCAGTAAAGAGTTGCTGTCTGGTCAATAAAGTATTCGTAAGACAGAGAAAAATTATAGTTTGAACTAATTTATCTTTATGTTGTATTGCCCCTAATAAAGTTCACTCACCATTTTGCTGGCTTGAATTAAAGTGTCATCAAAGAGTTCGTGGAGATTACTGGGCATGGAGTTAGCATGGCAACTCAAAATAAAAACTCCTCAAATTGCATTTTACCATTGCATATGAAGCCTGCAACCATAGAAAAGCAAAATGATTTTATCAGGATGAAGCATTTAAATGACTTTAATTAAATCCATGTATTTTGTGGTGTTACTAATTTCTATTTTTGGGCAATTCTTTTTCTTAATCCAAATATTTGACTTATTTCAGAATATCCAATTCACATCCCTGTTTCACAGAATTTTCTTTAAAGTAAAATCAACCTAGGAGCTTTGTGTCTTTGTCTTAGCTCTATAGATGTGTGTGGGTGTCTCTGATTGGAAATGTACAGGGCTGATAGACAAATGGAGAAAGAAAGCACCCGTACCGTACATCTGAAGAGCACTAAATAAACTCATCTGTTTTTCTGTCTAATGTTCTGAGCAATATTAGATAGGGTACCTAGAATGCATCAAACTGTTATGGGTGGCGAGCATCCGAGTTACAAGCAGCGAATTCATATGGATCTTCAGCCACCTCAATTCTTGTCTTCTCAGAAGAAAAAATTTGACTGAGGGGCATAAGGCAGAAGAAGAGACTGAGGCAAGTTTTAGAGCACGAGTGAAAGTTGACTCAAAAACTTTAGTGGGCCGGGCACGGTGGCTCAGCCTGTAATCCCAGCACTTTGGGAGGCCGAGGCGGGTGGATCACGAGGTCAAGAGATCGAGACCATCCTGGTCAACATGGTGAAACCCCGTCTCTACTAAAAATACAAAAAATCAGCTGGGCGTGGTGGCGCGTGCCTGTAATTCCAGCTACTCAGGAGGCTGAGGCAGGAGAATTGCCTGAACCCAGGAGGCGGAGGTTGCGGTGAGCCGAGATAGCGCCATTGCACTCCAGCCTGGGTAACAAGAGCGAAACTCCGTCTCAAAAAAAAAAAAAAAAAAAAAAACTTTAGTGCAGGGGCATGGCTCAGTGGCTTATGCTTGTAATACTAGTACTTTCGGAGGCTGACGCAGGTGGATCATCTGAGCTCAGGAGTTTGAGACCAGCCTGGGCAACATAGTGAAACCTCATCTCTACAAAATATACAAAAACAAAAATTAGCCAGGTATGATGGCGTGCGCCAGTTGTCCCGGCTACTCAGGAGGCTGAGGTGGGAGAATTGCTAGAGTCTGGGAGATGGAAGGTGCAATGAGCTGAGATCATGCCATTACACTCCAGCCTGGGTGACAGAATGAGGAACAAAAGGAACAAAAAGTACACTTGGAAGAGGCCCAAGCAAGCAACTTGAAGTCCAAGTGCAGGGTTTGAACTTTTGACTTGGGTTTTTTTGTTTTGGTTTCGTTTCGTTTTGGGTTTTGGTTTTTTTGTTTTTTTTTTCGGGCGGGGGAGAGTTGTTTTGTTTTTTGTTTTCTGGTTGGTTTTGGTTTTTGTTTTTGCTTTTTTGAGACAGAGTCTCGCTCTGTCATCCAGGCTGGAGGACAGTGGCATGATCTTGGCTCACTGCAACCTCTACCTCCCGAGTTCAAGCAATCGTCTGCCTCAGCTTCCTGAGTGGCTAGGATTACAGGCACCCGCCACCACGCACAGCTAATTTTTGTATTTTTAGTACTGACGGGGTTTCACCATGTTGGCCAGACTGGTCTTGAACTCCTGACCTCATGATCCACCCACCTCAGCATCCCGAAGTGCTGGGATTACAGGCATGAGCCACCGGGGGTTTTTACCTCAGCATGATTCTGAGCCTTCCTCCGTTCTCCTTTGATTCCTCCCTTGGGGTGGGTTGTTCACACGCACAGCGGCCTGCGGGGAGCATGCGCAGTGTGTTTGCTGGAGTTGTACGCATGCGCACCTGAGACGCCCTGCCCTGCTGCGGAATGGGCGCCCACGGTCGTATACCCGTTAAAGTCCACCATTTTGCTTCTTAGTGCCTATGTGTGAGCCCACTTGCTAAGCTCCTGAGATCTCGTCAGGAAGCTGCTGATCACCAGTTTCAGTTTTTTTCTATCTGTGGGGAAAACTGCCTTTCCCTGGTGCTGGCTGTGAACAATTATTATTTTAAAGAGGCAGTGTGACAATTGCCTGACCATCACCTGATTGTCACCTGACTTTCCTGGTGGGTGTTAGGGGAGCCCTCTCCTGCCCACTCTTACCTTTCTAACCACCTACCTAAACAAAATCATCCGAGCCAGATCCCTACTATGTTCTCCTAATACCTGGGACTTCCTTTGTAGCACTTACCAAAACTGTAATTATCTAATGATTTGAATTTTTTTTTTTTTTTTTTTTTGTATTTTTGTATTTTTAGTAGAGACGGGGTTTCACCATGTTGACCAGGATGGTCTCGATCTCTCGACCTTGTGATCCACCCGCCTCGGCCTCCCAAAGTGCTGGGATTACAGGCTTGAGCCACCGCGCCCGGCTTGAATTTTTAAAAATTATCTATCTTCACCACCTAGAGTGCCCCACCTTCACCTCACTTCCTTCAAGGTTGTATCCCTGGCAACACTCACAATGCCTGTTCATAGCAGAGGCTCAAGGATAGTCTCATAGACATCTTCAAATTGCTAGTACTTAGCACATAGCATGTAAATCTAATGTTTCTTGGTTAAAACTTTGGCTACTGTGCTTCCTTCAGCAGCACATATACTAAAAATTGGAACGATACAGAGAAGATTAGCATGGCCCCTGCTCAAGGATGACACGCAAATTCATGAAGGGCGAAAACTCCGTCTCAAAAAAAAAAAAAAAGTAAATGACATGCAAACTATATGCAATTCACAAAGTTTCTGCTTGGAAATAATTGAGTTCACCAGAAGCCTAAAATGCCACAGACATTATCAGTCCTTGGTGTTACCACACTGCAATTCCTTCTTATTTTTATTTCTCTGTCTTTTTATTTGTTTATTCTGTACCTTGACACTTCCCTCCCACTCCTGATGTTAACCATGCTGCTTTGCCCAAGTGTGACCTTCAGATGGTATTCTATGAGTTACTCTCTCTCTGTGGTCTGCACAATGCACCGACAGACTGGTATAAATGTTTGAAGCCTCCTCCTGCCAGCAGCCTCAGCGGCTCCTTTTCTTTCCTACTTTAGGGATGCTTTGTCAGCCTATGAATGCTGCCACTTTGGTTGGCTTTGTGGAGACAGCTTGTGCTCAGATGTGATTTAGTTGTAAGCTGATTGCTGCTCCATATGTGAAGAGAAAAAGAGCATGACCAGTTCCGAGGCAGCCAGTCAGGGTGCCCCAGCCTATTACGTCAGCATCGCATGATGCTGGACTGGGTAGTGCCAAACAGTCTCTTCTTGGCGTCCTTTCTTTCTTTCTTCTTTTCTTTTCTTGGTCTTTCAAGGAAAGATAAGAAAGCCTGGGAAAAGAGCAAGAGATGCAAGCAAGAGAAGCCTGCCTTTCCTTGAAAATTACTAAACACTATCATTATAAATTACATTTTTTCTTTAAAATTGAGGTTCTATAATGGAGGAAGGAGTAAAAAGGGATAGAATCTTCGGGAAGAAATAATTTATATTATATTGAAACTCGGATGTGAGATATCAGTTTTATCGGTTTTGGTACTTTATCAATGTTCCCCCAGCCTCCAACTTGCTACCAGGTTTCTGTAGTGGTTATATTAATTTTTGTCTAGAAATATGTATGTACATTAACAGAGCAGAGACAGAAAATAATACTTTCACATGGGAAGAGGGTTAATTCAACATAATTAGAATTCTTCTGCTATCTTAATGTTCTAGTTATTATCCCTCAGACTTCATTGCTTAAAACAGACTGTATGGTTTAAAAATATAGTAGGCTAGTCCCCATATGTCTCATCATTATCACATATTGTTCAGGGGAGGCTTATTTGAAAGTAATGTGACACATTGGATTTTACCAGTGTTGTTATCTGAGAACTGTACCATGGAGATTCCATATGCCTTGCTGAAGCAATTTTAGTAGGTGTTGATAACTAATTTTCGCAACAGGTTTTATGGCAATCAACAGTGTTTCGATCTTCAGTTTGAACATCTGATCAAGAAGGTTTTTTTTTTTTTTTTGAGACGGAGTTTCGCTCTTGTTACCCAGGCTGGAGTGTAATGGCGCGATCTCGGCTCACCACAACCTCCGCCTCCTGAGTTCAAGCAATTCTCCTGCCTCAGCCTCCCGAGTAGCTGGGACTACAGGCACTCACCACCGTGCCCAGCTAATTTTTTGTATTTTTAGTAGAGACGGGGTTTCACCATGTTGACCAGGATGGTCTCGATCTCTTGACCTTGTGATCCACCCGCCTCGGCCTCCCAAAGTGCTGGGATTACAGGCTTGAGCCACCGCGCCCGGCCCAAGAAGGTTTTTAAAATAAGAGCCTTATTCTATTGAGGTCCACTAACTTCTCCATAACACATGAACCAAACCCTAAAAACATTTCTTGTTGCTTATCTACAATAGAATTGCAAATTTTCTGTCTGATCACCTGGGGCTAACAAGGGTACCCTTCCCGATAACACTTTTTTCCCCAAAAATTAGAGAAAGGAGGAATTTGTGTTAAAAATAAAGGAAGGAGGAATTTGTGTTAAAATTTGTATGTTTTCTTATTCTTCTGAGAAGAGAGATAACTTTCTAAGAAAATTTATTCCAGTTATGAAGCAGAGGCACCGAATCACACACTTCAAGTCTGTCACTTTTAACAAAGTTGATTGATTGTGTGAGTTTATGCCTGTCTCCTTTCCCTTAGCAAAGGAAGCCTTAGCTTTGTCTTTAATTTCTGAAACGATACCAAGGATATCTTTATGTATTACTTAATAAATTTTTTATTTGATAAGTAGCATTGTCACTGTAAAAAAATTAGAAAAAGCCGAAAACAAAAAGGAGAAAAGCATTCCATTATTCTACTACATAAAAGGAACCTCTCTTGTTATTAAATGATTGATTGGCTGACAGGTTCTCTAACTCATGTAACAGGTGTGTGTTTAGCTCTTTGATGAAGACCGCCAGCCTCTCCTGCAGCATCTCCACATCATTATGGTTGGGGGCAGTAAGAACTAATGCGGATCCCAGTCTGTTTTTGATTAAGCTCATGCTTAAGGGATCCAGCTTGTTCTAACTCTCTCTGATTTTACATTCAGTTCCCCTTTCAAATTGTCTCCTTTGTGCACTTGAGGCTCCAGCATCAGATGCAAAAGCTACCACTTTATAGAGGCTGTTTAACCAGATCCCCAAATTGCATACAATCAAATCTGTGTAACAAATCCTTTCTTTCACAAAAATAGATAGATAGGTAGATAGATACCCTTTAATGGTTTTGCATCTCTGAATGAAACCCAAGCACCATAGTGAATTGATAATCACCATTACTGATATTAAAAATACACCATCTATTTTTTCATTTTTTTATTTTTTGTATTCATATGCTTACACATTTTTTTTTTTTTTTTTTTTTTTTTGAGACGGAGTTTCGCTCGTTACCCAGGCTGGAGTGCAATGGCACGATCTCGGCTCACCGCAACCTCCACCTCCTGGGCTCAGGCAATTCTCCTGCCTCAGCCTCCTAAGTAGCTGGGATTACAGGCACGCGCCACCACGCCCAGCTAGTTTTTTGTATTTTTAGTAGAGACGGGGTTTCACCATGTTGACCAGGATGGTCTCGATCTCTGGGCCTCGTGATCCACCCGCCTCGGCCTCCCAAAGTGCTGGGATTACAGGCTTGAGCCACCGCGCCCGGCTATGCTTACACATTTTAATTCAAATGTAATGCATTTTTATTTTACCCAAATGTGACCACTCAATAATACTTTTCTTCAACAAAAATAAGTACCTAAAATAATGTTTTAATTATCTGTGGTCATAATGCTCTAAGGCATGTATTAAAATGTGTCTTGAGGCTAGGCGCAATGGCTTACGCCTATAATCCCAGCACTTTGGGAGGCCAAGGTGGGTGGATCACAAGGTCAAGAGATCGAGACCATCCTGGTCAACATGGTGAAACCCTGTCTCTACTAAAAATACAAAAATTAGCTGGGCTTGGTGGTGCGTGCTTGTAGTCCCAGCTATTCCGGAGGCTGAGGCAGAAGAATTGCTTGAACCCAGGAAGCAGAGGTTGCAGTGAGCTGAGATCGTGCCATTGCACTCCAGCCTGGTTAACAAGAGTGAAACTCCATCTCAAAAACAAAAAAAAAAAGTATCTTATGGATTTTGTTCTTATTCTTGTTATTAATAGTAAGCAAGTGATAAAAATTACAAGAATAATGCATAGCTAACTATTAAATATCTATGTGGGTTAGCAATTGCTGCTACCCAAAACTCAGTAGATTCAGTTTGCTAGTTATTATTTTAATGTATGTGTCTGTGGGGCAGCAGGCAGTCAGCTCTAGTTTCAGCTGGGGCAGATCATCTGGTGATAACTCTACCTCACAGGTCTCTCATCCTCTCTTTCCACAAGCTGCCTACCCTGGTCACTTCTTTGCCACAGCTCTGGCAGATGCTTGGGAGAGAAAACTGAAACATATAGGGTCTGTTGAAGACTGTACCCAGAAGTGGCACAATGTCTCTTACACTCTATTCTGTTAGCTAAAGCAAGTCGCAAAGTCAAACCCTGAAGCAAAGGATTGGGAAATTTATAATAAGAGGCATATATTTAGTCTTCATCCCAGTTCCTGACACAGGCTTCTAAAACCCTTGGAATTTTCTTTTTTTTTTTTTGAGATGGAGTTTGGCTCTTGTTACCCAGGCTGGAGTGCAATAACACCATCTCGGCTCACCGAAACCTCCCCCTCCTGGGTTCAGGCAATTCTCCTGCCTCAGCCTCCTGAGTAGCTGGGATTACAGGCACGCGCCACCATGCCCAGCTAATTTTTTGTATTTTTAGTAGAGACGGGGTTTCACCATGTTGACCAGCATGGTCTCGATCTCTTGACCTCGTGATCCACCCGCCTCAGCCTCCCAAAGTGCTGGGATTACAGGGCGTGAGCCACCTAGCCCGGCAACCCTTGGAATTTTCTAAGTGATAAGGGTGATAAAGGTGAAAGGACTATTTTCTGTTATTTGTAACAACCCCCTTCAACCACACCTGAGTTTATGTTAATGACTTTTGGAAAGCCCCTAAGGATGGGAACTGGTTGCTAGGGAACCATTCAGTGATTAAAGGGCTAGAAATTTCAGCCTCACCCTCTTACTCCTTCCTCCAGGGAGGGAAAAAGGACTAGAGATTTCACTTCATCATCAGTAGTTGATGATTTAATCAATTATGCCTCTGTAATGAAGCCTCCATGAAAAGCTAAAAGAACGTGGTTTAGAGAGCTTCCAGACTGGTGAACACACAGCTGCTAAGAGGGTGGCAAGCCTGGAAAGGGTGTGGAAGCTGTGCCCTTTCCCATAGACTTTGCCCTATCCATCTCTTCCATCTGGCTATTCTAGAGTTGCATCCTTTTACAAGAAACTCTAATCAACCAAGTAAACTATTCTTGAGTCCTGTGAGCTCTTCTAGCAAATGACCTAACCCAAGGAAGGGACAATGGGAACCTCTACTTTATAGCAGGTCACTCAGAAGTGACAACCTGGACTTATGATTAACATCAGAAGAGGGACATTTCTTGTGGGATCTAACCTGTGGATCTAATGCTGTCTCCAGGTAGATAGTGTCAGCATTTAATAAAATTAAAGAGCATTCTGCTGATATCAAAGAATTGCTCTGTGCAGAAAAAGACCCGCACATCTGGTGTCAGAAATGACATATTGAGAGTG